ACAAAAGAAGGAACGCCTGGCAAACAGTTTGGTTTTACAGCAAGCAAGAGAGTTAATGACATCTATGGTTATAAGCAAGATAGCTTGCTTCTTTCCAGCATATGTTGAAAACATTTTGAGAATATTGAGATTCTATTTAAACTTTGGCCTTGCATGAAATAATTCAGAGAATTCAAGCAAATAGAAGAACTGACTCATGCACAGCATATATCAGAGTCCACATTGCTGGTAAGGAGCCCTGGTCCTAGGCTGCAAGGCTGATGTCCTGGGTGCAAGCTGTCCACGGAGGGGCTGCTCCCTGCAATGCTGTGTTCTGCTCCTGGGCACTTCAGTGCTTCTCTTTCTCCCTGGCTGAGTAACGTGATCTGCCTTTGAAGATGAATTTAGCTTGGACGGTAGCCCTGTGGTTCTGTGAAAAACCTGTTACTCATTGTGATAGCAGATGATGTGGTTTCCTTGAGAAAACAGAGTGGTGGAGTTATTTGAATAAAGAATTAGGAATGCTAAAGACTGGGTTTCTAATGCTGGCTAACAAGGATTTTTTGTGGGTTTGGTTTATTCATTTTATCTTTCAGTGCATCAATTTCATTCTCTTTTTATGTTCAATGTTTGTAATTATTAGGTATAAGCTGCATCATCGTTCATTTCAGAAAAATAACATATATATATATATATTATTTTTTTTTAGTTCTTTTAGTTCTTTTGTGGAAAGGATTGAGGGTATGTTTGTGTGTCTCTTTAGCATTTAATCATCACATGGAGAATAATGCAGCACAGCTAAGATAGAATCTCCATTACTTTTTTGAGGTAGTATTGACAAAGAACATGGATGCAGGAAAGAGATTGCTCATATCTGATTAGGGACACTGCTCATCCTGCTCGGAGTTGGATCTCTGCACTGAGAGACTCGCTTGTTCTGCTCAGTTCCTTGTGTTGTGTGCATTTTGTGAGTGTGTTAAGTGAGTGCACCAAAGAGTTGGAAGAACTTGGAAATTAATGTGACCACGTTGAAGCAGGCTCAAAGTGTCACTTGGTGTGCTAGGCAACATCCAATCTGCAACAGAGACCGAGAAGTAATATTTAGGGGTGTGTACCCAGGAGCACACAGCCATCCCTGTTGTACCTGTAACCCTGTGACATTCAGGTGCTTTTCCTGCTCACATCTGGGGGCTTTTCCTGCTGGGTGGTGTTCCCCGGCCTGTGTCAGAACAGGCCAGTGTTGTGGCAATGCAGTGGCTCTGCCCCACACAGCACTCAAGGCCCCTCTGCCTTCCCAGTATTGTTTTATTGCTTTTATGTTAAGGATACAAGTGCCGTTCTGCATCTCTCTTAGCTGAATGTTGCCTCTGTGCTACCTAGCTTGATTTGTTTAATTGTTTTCTTGAATGAAAGAACAGAACAGAGCATTTTTTTTCCTACACTTTTAGCATTTTGGTTCTGATTAAACCCAAATAACTTGTGCTTACTTCAAAGATATTTAAATCAGACTTTGTATTCTCAGATTACTTAATCAGAAAATAACTTATCTTCAGTTAGCTTCCAACTTGCATATGTTAAATGAAAAGCTGGTATTCTTGACTACAGCAAGATCTCTGAAGAATCATGCTAATTGTATGGTCATCAGGCCCTGATTTTTCAAAAGCAATCATTTAATATGTACTAAAATTCATTAGAATTAGGTATGTTTGTCTATTTGTGGATTAAAACCTCAATTAAAAAAAAAAAAAAAAAGCAGAAACCAAAACATGGAGGGTACTGATGTTTCAGATTTCCAGTTCTGTGATTTTCATTGTGTTTTTAAGAGACTTCTTAAGCCCTAAATGGTGGAGAACAGATAGTGTATTCTGGTGAAACCTCTAGTTACTGTAATAATTCAGAAACAGCATAATTTCCTCAGCATTTTTCCCCAAGCAAATATTGGCAGCTGCTATATTAAAAAATAAAATCTCTTCCATGTAGTGAAAACCTAGATGTGCTCCATCAGGTCACTTACTGTCTTTAAGCTCCCAAATACCAAAGCAATCAGCAAGAGGCCGCAGAGCATGTCATATGGCAAGATACGTCGTGCCAGCCCTTCATGCTGCTGAACTTTTATTACAGGACAAGTGATTTACTCCTCTGAACTTCTGAGCTTAACAGATTTCCAGGTACTGCTACTGAAGTTTTATTCTAGGCAAAGGTGTTCACAAAGAAGCACTCAGATAGTCAGATGTGAATCCAGTTTTATATCCCTGGCAAGTTCAGTGATGTCCAATTTCTGCTTTTTATTTATTTAAACAAATTTACAAAGAAGCAGCATAATAAGATTTTAACTCTTGTATATACATAGGAGTGTGTCTGCATTATTCCTTGTTAGTATTTATATAGATATTAGCTTTTATGTGTTTTAATATGTATATAAGCTATGTAATAGCTATATAACTTTGACTTTGGTATTTGATTCTTATTCTCTGTTAGTTGCTACATTCATCTTATGCCAGATGTTCTGAGGTTTTGCAGCTGTGGTATATGTTCAGTTACTTCTAGAAAGCTTATTTTGTACAGTACGCTTTATATACTGTGTGGACATGAGTCTTGTAGCACATTAATTCATGGTAGCTTGAATTCCATTCTTTTTTCTTTAGTTTTACAGAAATTGTACATTAATAGAGTGCACAGAGTTGTCTTGCTTCTAAGAGCCTCTATGATTTTGTAGTTGTAAGATTCAGAGTCTTTGTATAGCTAGCGTTACCGTGCCTCTCAGTGCAAAACTTTTTTGTTCAACGTTTCCCTATTTATCCTCCACAAGGAGAAGCTGAATCAAAAGTGAGCTGAGAAGATATGGAACACACATCTTTTAAGATAGTTTTTCACACAAGGGCACACGTCTGTATTTTATCACTCATAAAGATCCATTTATTGAAATCCAAATCGACATGCTTTGTTTAAAGCCAGAACACAGACTTTAGGAGCGTAATTCCACTTAAGCTTCTATGCGTGTGGATATTGTCCAAACACATTTTCTTCCTGCTGTGTCTTACTCCACATGCTGTTCGGAAATGGCACAGGACCTAGCATAGATTAGACATTTGATGTTTTAGGAGGTCCAAACGGGGCTTTTAAATGTTAACTTTGCTGGGCCAAACAGTCTCTTCCAAGTTTGTGGAAGAAATAGCCAAAGCAAGGACAGCCAGGCCATGTGATGGCCCAAAACTTTAGGTTGTGTTCACGACTGGCTTCTTTGTGTTTAAAACAGGTCGAATACCACAGGATAAGCATTCAGGCAAAATGACATTCAAAAAAGGTAGAGAAGCTTCCATGCAGATCGAAAACAGTATCCGAAGTATCCAGAATTTATTGTCATTCCCCTCCTAAAGCATCTTGTCACAGGCTGACTTCACAGACAAGTCCCAGTGAAACCTGTGTCGTTTCTTCTCCCCGGTCTTCTCCAGCCTGTGCCTTTCCAGGCCCACAGAGACATTTGAGAAGATGGGAGATCTCTCTTGGCAAAGCCTCGTGCAGAGGAGCCCAGCAGGCACAGGCCAGGGGCCCCCGCTGCTGTGGGGCAGGCGATGGGTGCGTGGCTGTGCTGGGCCGTAGCGAGGTGGCTGGGGCCTTGCCGGGGCCTCCTCCCCTCTCAGGCACCTCTCCTGATCCTGGAGGGGGGGTTTGGTCCTAACTTCAGGAATCGGAGCCTGAAATTTGGCATCTATTTCAGTTCCTGGCTGTGTGGCCTGCATATCGCATGGGGTTAGCTCCACTCTTGAACAATAATTTTCCATGTTTTATTTTTTAAATATTGGCTTTAATTAATGTACAGTTAATTGAACATTTTAACAGTTTTTCTATACTTCATTGTTTCAAATGAAAATAGATCAGTCTAGCTGCAAGTGTTTTCTCCTCATGATGCTTTCTTTTATTGTTTGATTCATTATGTACAGAATGTGCTTCAGTTTCTAAAAACAAACATACATCATTATAATTTCGCTGATATTACTTTTTCTGATTATAGTTCACTAGAAAACTACAACTTGATATAATGACTAAAGCATGCGGTTCATAATGCATTTAGTATTTGTTTTTAATCATCTTTTGTGTATTTTTATTAAAATTAAATTATTGCAACATATGGAATTACATTTAAATGTATTTACCATTCTGTGTTTATTTAGAAAAGTGACTATGCTGAGAAAGATACCTCCTTATTCTATTTTCTACACGTTCTTTTCAATTTAATCCACTTGCCTTATTAATTAGCAGAATTTATTTTCATTATCCATGCAAACTCAAAGAATGAGAAAAGTGCATATCCTTCCTTATCTCCCCAAAACATCTCCTGTCATTTTTCAATGAAAGTGGTTGAGTGACTAGCATAATTTTCAGATCTTGAAGCGTGTTTGTGGCATTGCTAAATACAAAAGAACAGGCCAAATCCTGATCACATGTAAGAACATGAAAGATACCATCATTGTATTGTGCTGTCTGTTCAAATTTTGAGCTTAATCTTCTTTCACTGGCATGAATACTGTTCCTTTGAAGCTGATGGGTAAACTAACAGTGAGTGAAAGCAGTTTGAGATCTCTGATTAAGTTTTATAGAAGCATAAAGACCATATTCTCAAAAGCTATTTTTAATGCATTAAGATTCACCTTCTTCAACTTCATAATAAAAACAGGGAGGAAAACACTCCTCCAGGTTGATTCACAGAACGGTTGAGCTTGACCACTGTCCTGTTTCCTCCACCAAGAAGCCTTTTTCCAGAGAAAGATGAGTCTTTGAGAACACTGCAACTATACAGCCTCTAAATGCTGTTTGTATCTCTAATTGCTAATAATCTGTGATCTAATTTAACTTTGTTCTAGCAGCTACACATCCAAAAGGCACACAGGCGTAGTTTCCTGGTTGCAGGTGGTTTCTTCTTGTTCTGTGGTGCTTTTTTTCTAGTCAATCGTCTCTTGGAAATGCTGAAGAGAATAATACCACCAACACAGTTGTGATTTATTTTTCTTTCTCCATTTCAGGCCCCTCAAACCACCACAGCCAGTCAACACTGAGGCCACCTCTCCCTCCTCCTCACAACCACTCGCTGTCCCACCATCACTCGTCCGCCAACTCCCTCAACAGGAACTCGCTCACAAACCGCCGCAACCAGATCCACGCGCCTGCTCCTGCACCCAACGACCTGGCCACCACTCCTGAGTCCGTGCAGCTCCAGGACAGCTGGGTGCTCAACAGCAACGTGCCACTTGAGACCAGGTGGGTCACGGGGCTGGGAGCCCTGGGGTGCCGACATCCTGCAGCACACAGAGAAAACCACTTGACTACTGAGGAGAGGGGTTTTAATCTGCCTTGGGTCAGCAATGTGTTTGGCTGATGCAACAGGGAGTGTTCCTGACATGAGAATATGTACAATACGCATCCTCTGATTTGCTTTGCATTGGAAGACAGAGAGGTGGACATCTTCTGCCATTTCTCTGTCCTATTTTAAAGCATTTATTATTCATTTGGACAGTTCTTGTCTACGCAGCTAATGCTGCTAGAGTAGTATATCTTGCACACAGGCTCAGGGGGAACTTGCTTGTAAGTCATATTGACTGTGTTGCTGGAAAATTATGCATTTTGCCCTTCCTGAGGTCACAAACAGAGTCTCATTTGCAATTATGCATTTTGGGAGACTTGAGAAACAATCCCAGATTCAAGACTGACAGTACCGTAATTTTCATTTATATTTCATCCAGGACACAAGCTCATTTTAATCTCTTCTGTACGTGTTAACAGCTTGATGCCCATGGGGCAAACAGTTGCATATAAATTAAAAGGTGCAGCACTTCAGTCAGTCAAATGAATAAGTGCATGCCTGGCAGGCTGTGGTTCTCTGTATTCTCGTTTGTGGTCATCTGGGGTGGGGGATGTCAAATGTATTTAACTTGCTCTTTGAATAGGAGAGCTGATCTCCCAGAATTTAAAATCAGCCATTGTGGGGCTGTTTGCAGGAACATGTGTTTGTGTCCTTGTTCACAGACATGAAGCAGAGTCCTTCTGTGATTGTCAGAGCAGGAGGGGCATTCACATTTGTATGTCTGAGGCTGCCCCTCTTGCTAATATGCTAGAAAGTTACCGAATTCTAGCAAATTCAGTTCAAAAAAAAAAAAAAAAAAAAAAAAAGAATGTGAAAAATAAGATTGCAAAAAAAAAAGAATGTGAAAAATAAGATTGCAGTAGGAGTCTGTTCCTGCTTGCCTGGGGAGATAGATGGATATAAAAACATGGAACACAGGTAGAGCAGCTGGACTGCATGTAACACTGGCTCCTGCAATGGTTGTAGCTGTTTGTTGTCACAGTTTCTCAGTTGTTATGTTTCAGCTGCAGCCTTCGGGGAATTTAAGGCTGCTCTACCAGATAACACACGCAGTAGCCCAGCATGGTGTAGTTACCTCTCTGAGCGGTCTCAGCCCAGTCCTTTGAGTCTGATTACTGACTGACTTTTGGTTTGGAGCTGGGGAGAAGCTGGTGCAGCTGTACTGAAACTGACAGCACCAGCGGGTGCAGTGCCATGGGGAGACAATGAGGCTGAAACATGCAGGGAGTTTGTGCTACTACACCCAGCCCTGGGCTGCCCACAAGAGGCTTTGTTCACATCATTCAATCACATTTATTCACTTTGCTAAAATAGCAAAACACATGCTATGAAGAAGAGGTGGGTGTGAAAAGTAAATACAAGTTAGTTGAAGCATGAGATGTCCGGAACCAAAAAGGAAGGGGATTCCTTCTTACTGAAGGTTTAGGAGCTAACTCTGGCCAAAAGGTTCAATGTTCTGAATTTGTTATTTATCACTAAGAACCACAGGATGAAGTTGTTGCAGCTATTCAGCCTGGGCCAGGTGGTGCTGTGTTCATTGCCCAATATTAGAACAATGCTTTTAATTCTGGCTTCATATGAAGTCATTCTCAGGTACAACAGTAGCTGTAATATAATTTCTGATGTCTTAACATTGTCGCAATTTTCATTTATAGGAAGGGAATTTCTCAGGTTATTTGCAAGGTGATTCTTTGTCATAATACTGGCATCCCCAAGAACCAGACCTGGGCTGTCTGAGTTTCCTTCTTCCACATTCTGGTTTTGTGCCTTTTCACTGTCAGTGTAGTCTTATCAGTTCCGGTAGTAACTTCGGACCTCCTCCTTTTCTATTTTATATCAAAAACTCTCAGAGAATACATGTGTATTCATGTTGCTGACCAAAGCAATGCTGTTAGTTTTGGAGGCTGCAAGATACCTGGCTGCTAATTGGAGTTTTCCGTAGTTGCGTTTGTCAGAGGCAAACATTGAGATGTCAGAGAGCCTCCTGACAGGACCGCCGCCTTCTAAGACTCTACCAGAGGTGCTTCAGGATCGATTTTCTTCTTTTCTGAAATTGCACACCTGACAGGACTTGATGACAAGTTTCATCACAAGAATATTAACTCAGAAGATGATGACTTTTTTCTGTTTTGCAGTGTGTTTTGCTGAAATTGATGCCTGCAGAATCACTGGAGACTTTCCAAATTAGCCCGTAACTCTTTCTCTTTACTCTAAATTCATACCAATAGCCACAAAAACCAATGACACCTTTTTGCTAGGTTGTTAGTTCAGCCTTTATTTTTTGGTTCTGCTTTGATGTGAGTGCTGATCCCACTTAACAGTGCCTCTTCCCAGAGCACTGCACTTGAATGTTTTTCCCTGTTGGCAGTTTGTTAATCTCAGCAGCAGAGTGCTCTGGAGACAAAGCCACCGCTGACAGCGGCTGCTTTGTCAGGACAGACTTTCTCAACTTTGTTTTCACCTTTTGGTAACCTTCAGCAGATTCTGCTCTCAGCTGAAAACAATATGCGAATGGTTACATTACTATGAAACGGAAAGTGGTACCTGAGCTGTCTGAAGGGAATGCTTTATGTCAGCACTACAAAAATCAGATCACAATTCAGATTCCAGACGTCTCTTTATCTAACAGTGCCAAGCACTGAAATCATTGAACATGGCAACGTGTGTCTGCATATTGTTATTTTTTTCTGCTAAGAATGTTTTTCCCTTCTTTCCTTTGCCGTCTTAGGCAGTCTGGGCTGAATACACAGACTGCGTGGAGACAGCACATTTTCCAAATGCATCCTTTCTCCATCTCTTGTTTCAGTATTGATTCTGGAGGAGTTAATCACATTTGTTTTATTTTCTGTGATGTAAATTAAAATTGGTGTGGTGTTTTTTTTTGTTTTTTAAATGAGGCTCTTGATTCAATACAAACATAAACATGAAATATGTTCATGAAATACTCAATTTTTAATTACTTTTCAGATGACAAAGTAAGTAAATTTAAAGTAAATATGAAGCTCCCAGGTCTCTATTCTTGTGTACTACAGCATGCATGTGATACTCAGACCAGGTATAAGTATATGCGTAAATAAATAAATTAGGAAATTAGAAACCATGGTGCTAATAGTGTTTGAAAGACTGCACCAGGAGCAGGCAGAGCCAAGACAGGTTAAAGGGTCCAGAGAAGGTACAAGAGGTGTCCTGGGGCCAGGATCCACCCAGGGAGCCCAAGCAGGAGCAGAAAGAGCTGGGGCCAGAGACAGAGCTGGAGCTGAGGCTGCAATATTGCGCTGAAGGGTCCATGCAGGAGGCAGGTGACTCACAGTGCCAAGCTGGGACCCATGAGGAGCTCCTGGGGCTGTGAGGGGCTGGGTGATCTCCCAGGTAAGGCTGTTTGGGGCCAGGGAGGAGGATCATCCCCCAAAGGCTGATAAATCAGGCCAACTTCCAACTTGAAAACAACACGTTAGAAAATTGATCTTCACCAGTGGTACGTGTCATCAGCTATTAGTTCCTATCACTGTCCATAATTATCCCTGCATCTACAAACAGTTGGTCCTTGGGAAGATTATCCTGAACTAGCTGTGAGGGCACATACCCAGGAGCTGGTGGGCTGATGGCTGCAGACCTTGGTGGTCATCGAGGTGGAGATGAAGGTAAAAGTCTCCATTCACCCTTTGTGTCTCTCTATTTTTAACATGATTATGCTTAGCTGTCCTGCAGTAGCTGGATGCTTTTGGTGGAATTAAAATATTGTCAAATGCTTATACAGAGTTCTTAGTTGTGCTATTTTGGTGTGTTTAGGTCTGGTTCAAGGCAAGCAAATATGGATTGTATCTTACCTGGTCTGCTGCTGCTGCTTTATGGCTGCAACAGGGCCTTGCATTGGCTACATAATTGTTCCGTTTTCTTTTTAGGGTCCATAATGGAAGGGTTGAAATATCTTTAACTAAGGATGCAGGAATGTATCACTGTAGCATATCATGATGCTATTTTTATGGTTCATTTCTGCAGTACTTAACTGCTTTACCTTTAGGCTCAAAGCTGCTGTTTAATGCTCTTTAACTTTTATTGTCCTCTTGCAGTCTGTTTCAAACCATCTCCTCCTCCTCCTTTCCAAAGTGCTGGTTTCTACATTTTGCAGTTAAGAGGTGTTCCTTTATTGCTTCTTTAATCATTGCTTTCAATGAGGATGAATGATGAAAGTACTACCTTTGAACATCCCAGTGTGGGTCTCATTACCTCCAGACAGCTGGAGAGGCAGCACTCTGCTTTACAGGTTGAAATGCTTTGAGGGCTTCTTTATCACAGAGCATGGGGAGAAAAGTATGGCTTTGCAGGAAAGGTTTGCATCACTCTTTGCACTGTAAGGTTCATCTCTGGGATGGGAACCTCGCACAGGGCCATCTGCAGATGCCAGTCAAAATGAAATGACTCATAAATGAGGATAACAGAAGAGCTTTCACGGATGGATATTTGCCTAAGATTGCCTAATGTACTAATGTCTGTTCCTGTGCCTCATATTGATGTTAATTAATTTAGTTGGTACCATTATAATTAATAATACTTAATCCAAGAGGAAAAAAGATGAAATTAAATAGAAATTAGTCTTATTATTTAATCTCATAATTAGTCTCATACTTAAAATATTTTCAATCAAAATCTTTTAGCTGTAAAGATAATTTCATATGTATGCTTCTAGTTTCTTTGAGCTAGCTCATAAGTATTTTTTACTAGGCTTCAGTGAAGAATATAACATACCAACATTTCTCCTGTATTTCAGGAGAAACAATAACGGCCACTCTTCTGGTGATTATGAAATCCCTGTTTCCCTCTTGTGGGCTGTTGAACAAAAGCAGTGGTCTAAATTTGGGGTCATTTAAGCAAAGTTCAATTTAAAGATTGAACGGTC